CTACTGAAGACACTTGACAGCCTCGCGAACTGCGGATTAGTAATCTTGAAACACTGTCGAACGTATGGTTGAACTTGCCCCAAATCTCCCCGCATTCGGCATCATACTACCGCCGTGGGTCTTCTCCCGATAATGGTAGGTGTAACTGGTACAGTATGGGTTTCACAAGTCTCTTGTCATCTCAGCTCATGCTGGACCGTTTTTTTTTTTAGTTGTCAGCTGTCAGAAGTGACCTGCGAAACTCGAAAATTGCTACACATTCTCGAACTTTCGATATCAAGGACAGTTTCTATTACAGAGATTTACACATGGTTCCAACGTAATGGCTACTCCAACACATGGACGATTTCTGTCCTACCCCAGCGAGCCCAGCGATATTATGACTCAGTAAACCACGCAACCTCTCCACCTCTGTCTCCAAATCCAAACCCGGCCTCTTTCGTCTCTTCCTTGAACAAAAGAGAAGAGAGTCAGTCGTGTCTCCACAACCCAAGGCGCGCCGAAACGTCGCCCCGTCCGTCGGAGACATAACCTTAGTCAAGAACCTAGAAAAGCCGTTGCGCAGCGTTTGCGGCTCCCTCTCGGCCAAGACCAAGTGAGCCGCATCCGCAGCCGTTGTAATGCGACCGTCCGACATGACGACGACTCTTGCCAAGATCAGCAACGTGAGATAATCAGGCTGGTTTTCCCCCGAGCAAGGATTGTCAAGTCAGGTATTGTAAGTGGGTATCGTGGGTGGACATGGTCGAACGGGAGTTGCCATCGCGGTACCTAGGTAACGTTCCGAGGTCCTTTTACATGACTTGTTGTAACGAAGATCCTCATTACCGTCTTAGGTGATCTTTCGTTTATACCTTCTGCCCGGTGATATCATCAAGCTGTTGATCCTTCTGATAAAGTTGTAGGAAAATTTTGCCCGTGGTGCTGGGACGCAAATAAACGGTGGTTGTTCGAGTTCAAAGACTAGAGTGGATGCCTGAGCAGAACCCACAAGTCAAAGCGGTAGTCATACAATACTCATTTTCTCCTGTTCTAACCAACTCCAGAGGCATGCTAGAGATCGCCCTAGGGATGATGCTAGTTGGATATGTACGTTGAAGAGCACGCAATACAGGTAATAGGCGAATATTGCCTGTCAGGTTGGAGGAAGGGGCCAGGTACGGTGCCTACTTGTGGTGTTACATGCTTACGCGCCATACGTACCACTACGACTATACAGAGTATACGAATCCCTCCCCTACAGTAAGCTGAAGTGGAGAGCGATTGCACAGCCACACGTGCTGTAGGTACCATGTCCTCTTGTGCAAAGCCGCCGTTGGCCTCAGTGTTCGGTCACAGAGACATTAGTTGAGCTCGAGGCAGCAGGCCATCACAATCAGATATCTGAAGATCGCAATCCACAAGACCTGTTGAGCAAAGGGAAAAGGCTCACCCTTAAAGGGCACGGTGAAGTCTTTTCTCGAGCGCAGGGCGCGCGCTCGTGTTGATGAGGGGACTGATCAGCAATGGACCCACATGCTAAGCGGCCAAAGCTTGTATGTGCACCGCCTCATGGCCCTGGTGCCCTGCATGTCTTGCGAACCCTGGAGTTTTGAATGTGGCTCAACACTTTTCAGGGGAAGCTTTTCATCATACTCAAGGAGCAGAGCAAAAACACGTGAGAATGTGGATTGAGGATAAGGTATTGGAGTCATTCCTCCGGAGATGCTGGCAAATGAGCCAACCGACTCAGGTTGCAAGCATTCGAATCCGTCGTACAAAGACACGCCAAGAAGCTCAAATTGTCCCGTCACTCGTCGCCGTTAACCCTCGGCCGTGTCACCGTCATGATACGTGTATTCATTCAGCACCCGCAACTTCAAACGCTTACTTCTGCATCATCAACTGGACGAACTCGTTGTCTGGTGTGTGTTAGCATCGCACTTGTGATACAGGCAGCTGTAACCTACAGTCGATGCGGCCGTCACCGTCCTGGTCAGCCTCCCGGATCATCTCGTCGACCTCGTCATCGGTCAATTTCTCGCCAATAGAAGTCATGACGTGACGCAGTTCGGCGGCGGAGATGAAACCGTTGTTATCGCGGTCGAAGACCTTGAAGGCTTCCCGGATCTCCTCCTCGGAGTCGGTGTCCTTCATCTTGCGGGCCATCATGGTAAGGAATTCTGCAAAAGTTAGCTGTGGTACTTTGGACAGGTAGGGAGGGGCGCACCTGGGAAGTCAATGGTGCCGTTGTTGTCGGCATCGACCTCGTTGATCATGTCCTGGAGCTCAGACTCGCTGGGATTTTGGCCGAGCGAGCGCATGACGGTACCTAGCTCCTTGGTGGTGATTTGACCTGTGGCGCATCGTCGTCAGTTGTGCTTGCTATGGAGTAGGGTGGATGGCGTGGTGTTGTAGCTGTGGGCGGTGGTTTGGACCCCTAGCCAGCAAGCCTCGCTCGGGCCCCTCTGCTGATTGCGTAGGCTGGAGATGCGGCATTGCTTTGAAGGCAGAGAGGGAGAGAGAGAGTGTGTGTGTGGAAGGGAGTTTGGAGGGAGAGTACTGACCATCGCCATCCTTGTCCTACAACACGACGTCGTCAGCTGCATGTTCGTGATTGCGCAGGCCCCAGGGCTACCAGGCAGCCGCGCGGCATGGCAAAGGATGGGGAAGGCACTTACGAACAGAGAGAAGGCCTCCTTGAACTCGGAGACTTGCTCCTCGGTGAGAGAATCGGCCTACATGGACCTGTTAGCGATGCGCTCTGGTGCTGGCGGGCAGGCTATCGTGGGGTTTTGCAGGGCGGGGAATGTTTGGGAATGTGGGAGGACGGCGCGGGGCTACACACCATGATTTTTTTGGGGGGGGTCTGGCAGGAAGGGGGAGGGAGGTTGTTGGTCGAGTGCGGGGGTTGGGCTGGGCCGGGTTTGAGATATAGCAGAGGCGCAGGTGCGGTGTGAAGGAGATGCCAGTAGTGTTTGCGGCTGGAGAAGATGGGCTGGAGTGGAGCAGGCTGTCAGACGGCCCTATCTAGTGCGGCCCTGCTGTTGGGAAGCTGGCGCTAGCGCTGCTCAGAGCGGGAAGGCGGCTTCAGCTGCACCGCCCAGACACGTCTACCACGCTGCGAATGCGCCTCACTCCAAAAGTCGACAATCCACAGCTCGCGTCGTCATAGCCCTCCATCTACTCCTCGTGCCCTGCCATGACCTAGCCTTGTTGACCCTCGCCAGCCCAGCATGTGGCGGGACCGAACCAACCTGTATGCTGCTGCTACCGCTTCCGACCACCCTGCCCTTCCCTCGCTGACGTAGCTGCGTAGCTTTATATCCTACCGCCAGTCCTATTCCCACCACCCCCAGAAGAAGACGCGCTATGGCGGCCCAGGCTCCAATGGCTTCGGCGACAGCAGGCGCATGTCTGACGAGCGGCAGGGGCTCATGGCCAGTGGCGCATACGAAGACGACGGCGATGCTGTGATTGAAATGGACCTGCTGCCTCCACGATGGCTGGATATCCAGGACGAGATCACCGAACACCTAGCCGAGATAGCCAAGCAAACACGCAAGCTCGACCAGCTACACCAGAAGCACGTGCTGCCGGGCTTCGACGATGAAGACGTCAAGAAGCGGGAAGAGCGGGAGATTGAACAGCTCACCCAGGGCATCACACGCCTCTTCCAAAAGTGCCAGCTAGCCATCAAGCGCATAGAGACCATGGTGCGCGAAGCCAAGCAGCAGGGCAATATCAATCAGGGCGAAGAGGTCATGGCACAGAATCTCAAAATCTCCTTGGCTACCCGTGTCGGCGAAGTGAGCGCCATGTTCCGCAAGAAGCAGTCGGCCTACCTGAAGAGTGAGACATGCCCAGTACAAAACATGGGCAATGCTGATTATTTGTCCAGAACTACGCGACCTCGGTGGTTTTACCTCGCCCTTCCGCTCCGCGACACCCGTGCAGAACCCCTACAACGACCCTGCCCTGCAAGAATCCGATGCCGACCGCTCCTTCTCGCAATCCACGCTCCTGCAGACAAAGCAACAGCGCATGCGCCATGACCCCAATGAAGCAATCATAGCCCAACGCGAGCGCGAAATCGAAGACATCGCCCAAGGTATCATTGAGCTAGCAAACATCTTTCAGGAGCTACAGACCATGGTCATCGATCAAGGCAGCATGCTGGACCGCATAGATTACAATGTAGAGAACATGTCGCGAGACGTCAAAGAAGCGGACAAGGAACTCAAAGTGGCGTCGGGATATCAAAAGCGAACCATCAAGAGGAAGATTATGCTACTGTTGGCTATCTTGATCGCGGGTGTCTTCATACTGTTATCGCTCAAGCTGAGCACAAGAGGCGGAAACGATGCGCCGGCCGCTCCACAAGTGCCAGACGTCCCGCCGGCGGCAGCGATAAGAACCAGACGGCAATCAACCAGCATGCGCACGAGTCGCGTATGGCACCGAAGAAAACGGCGGTTATGGCAGGGGATCGAAGACCACCCTTTGACGCTCTAAGGGCCGCTCTTTTAGAAATGGATAAATCATGATTGCTGCCTCGTACCGTCCAGTCTCACCGTGTACCTACTAACCTTCGATGACTCTCTATCAAACAGGCGATTCTACGCATGTGTTCACGTTCCAAGTACCGTGCTCAGACTCGTCGAACAGTTTCGCTTCTTCAGTGGATGCCCAAAGGTTGTGATCGCCGGATCCGTTCAGCAAGCTCAAACTTCATTATGCTTAGTCTAGAGTCAATGGCGCGTGGCTGTTGAACAAAGACGGCAATCGCCATGTGCCTCGACAAAAACCACGACTGCCTTTGTAGCCCGCATGCGGAAGGCGCAAGGTAGGAGCACTATTGCAGTCTTGCTGAACAAAGACTCCATGTTTTGGCAGTCCAACGTTTGTTTGGAGAGGCTGTCTATACATCTCATGCTGCTTTGCGTGTGCTGCTGGAGCTTCTGACAACCTTCATAGTATTTTGGGTTCTTCTAGGACACCGGAGCAGTTTACTCCTCATCATGAACCTGAAGAGAAGCAAATTCTGGCCCTCATTTCACATCAAGCCCAGGCACCCAGGACATTGGCCCTTGAGCGAGGATGTTACCACACGGATTTGTCGGTATGCAGGCAGACAGGCCAGTGCTATGCTCTATATTGCTCTATACAAGAACAGAGTAGGCGGCAAAGATGCAAATGCAGCCCTGCGAGCTGTGTATTACGAACCATTCACGTACTGGGACTGGCATGGGGTGGATGCTGAAGATGAAAGCGCTTCCAAACACAAGAAACAGCTTGTTTGGGAGCGTCAACGAGGCTTCACAGCTGCCAAAGGTGAAAAGGGTGGATACCCATATCCTCAAGAAGCATGGCAACGATTCCGACACCTAATCGATAACCATGCAGAGAGGCGCCATTGGGTTGCAAAGATCGCAGTGGCGCATTGGATGAACATAGAGGATCTGACGTGGTGAGTCTTCTCTAGTTCGTATACATCACAAACAACAAAAAGACCTTTGGCTTCCCGCAATCCTAACCGAATTCGTGCGACTCTGAAGCCGATTGCTGACATTTTTCCAGGATATTCCGAAATCTGCCGTCGCTTAAAGCCCTGGATTTGAGCGACATTGCACTGTTCACAGTCCAGCCATACAAGGGCTATGCAAATGAGCCTCCGTTAACTATGACTGACACATGGGCATACTTTTTTCTTCGTATACCCAGCATGTGTCCTGTAAGAGAGACGGCGCCTAAACTGAAATGGCTTGGTATTCCAGATTTTCGAGATATTTCACTTGTCGCTCCGCAGATCCTGCTCGATAATTTCCTACCGCTTTGTACGAATCTTCAAACTCTCTCTATCCGCGGGAAATATAGGGAAGAAATCCCACCGCCAAGCCTTAGTGGACACGAATACGTTTGTGCTTTCATCAGGGGCATCAAGATACGTTCCCCATCCAGCGTCACGGCTCTTGAACTCCGGCTTTCGATTCCTTTCTTACATCAGCTACTAGTCGCTCTACATGCCGAGGACAGGCTGAACATAGATCAGATAGGTCTTGATCTTGGGGCCTGGACTCAGATATACCCTCTCAGGAATACTTCTACGGAAATATCAGACAGTGATGTCATATCAGCAGCTTCGAAGGCAGCTTCGAAGACCCGTTTTGATATCTACGAACAACAACATAACAAGCTCCTATCTGAATCATCGAGATGGCTTTTGCCAGCGCCAGAAGACACTCCCAACATGTCAGATGTTTCGAGTTCTTCTGCAAGTCCCGCATTCGAGAGGCTCGACGCAAGGCCTACGTTCCAGAACGAGCCATACAAAGCGAAGGGAGGGTCAGATATTCGCAATTACACCTGTGATCGGAGCAAGCTCGAAAGCCGGAAGAAATGTGGAAACAAAGACGAGAACCACCACAAAGAACTACTCGGTAGCCTTGAAAGGACACATGTAAATTCTTTGCCATCCATGTTGGTGAAGCTACATGACGCGGGTCGAATTGCTGCATCTCAGGACTACAGTCTATATTCACTGAATCCTGAATGGCAGGTCAATAGCACGATTCCCCTACATCCCTTCACCATGATCCAGAAGTACCAGCCTGTTCCTACACTATCTATGGATCAGGGTCGGGACTACAAACAGCTGACAGCAGATCGACTCAAAGAGGCATATAATTGGTTGAACGCGACTTTTGCATGGCGGCCAATCTTCGACTGGGACTACTTTGTAAGTTGCGGTATAAAAAGTCCGAAGGAAAACCTGGACGTTGCATTCTTCAGCTTGGAACAACAATACAAACTTGGCAACACAACTAGGAGTACGAATGAAGTACTCTTAGGTGAAGTTTCTAGGCAATTTCAGATCATGCGAGACGCCGGCATACCAATCCATCTTCTCATGGGCCGTCGCAACCCTGATGAGTCCAGCCTGTACTGGGGCTGGCCTTACAACTCAGACGCGTGGGAGAAATCGCTTAAAGCGCCGCTTGATGCTGGTTTGGGAACAATAGCAGCTCAAATCGATACCTTGAGTATTTTCTATGACCTACGCAATCCTCTGGACGAGCAGCGTTTGGAAGAGATTGATAAAAGGCAACCGTATCGACGACCCGAAGCATATTGTCCTCGCCCAAACGACCCTTGGCACCTTGCTAAGAATAGCCCATTCAAGAAGCAATGGCAGGATCGACCATCACGAATATCGAAGCGCAATACCCAGAAGACGGCGAACAAGAAGATTATGGGAAAGAAAACTCGCATCCCACTGGCTAACAACCTCGACTCATGTCCTCCGGCCGGGGAGTACGCCGATGAACACTTATACGATGATCCCGAGACGGACAGATCCATACCAGAGACCTTGCACCAGGTCGCCCGTCGTGCTGCATTTGAGCGAGAAGCCGTTGGTTGGCACCGATTCTGGACCGAATATGCACCTCAAATGACGAACTTGAAGGAACTACGGTTGCGAATGCCTCAGAACTTCGATAGTGTGGGTAGTTGGAGTCTCCGCCAACTTCTGAATCCAAAAGAGACCTGGGTAATGTTTGGTTATGCGGACGAGCGTGGCCATATGCAGACCCAAGAAGATCTCCTGCATCACGTCGCGAACGACTTCAGGCTGCATATGCATGCAGCACAAGAAAAGATATGGCCTGGTGGCCGTTTTGTACGACGCAGTTGGATCCTGTGGACCCCTGAGCCTACAGGCACTGCTGAACTTGCTTTGCATAGAGGTACAAATGAGGCGAGATGCCTAACATCGCATCCATCTTTGAGCAACAAAACTACTGACCTATACAAAACACACAAGCTGGCCGGAGATAGGCGCGAAAAAGAACAGCTTCAAAAGGCCATCAAGCAAGCACGAGAGACAGCACGAAAAGAAGAAGAACTTGAGGCTTCACTTCTACTCTCCTCATCAGAAGATCTTGTAAGAGATCCTCCAGCAGTGATACCAAGGTCAGAAGACATTGAAAGAAGGCTGAAAGGAATCTACGGTCGCCACGTTCGTGGTATTGCCCAGAGAACCTGGCGCGCTGAAATGCGAGGTCACATCGAACAGCTGAATGATGATGTGCACGGAAGAGACGAAACTGTTCATAGTCTTCGTCGAGTGGGCGCTGTATCACAAGTCGAAGACGCTACGATTGCACGAAACATACTGCGGGATACTCGAGAACTTCTGCTAAAACGCATGCATGACTTCCGTCCAGAAGACATCTTTGTGCCATGTGATCGCACAGAACATACGAACGGCTTGGAGCTTGTGAATCATATGACTGACTATGCTGCCGAAGAGCGTAAACGGCGAGGAGAGCCAGTGCAAGAGGACGCACATCGAACAGAGAAGCCGACTTCGAGATTTCCGTCTACGAACACGAGACCTGGTGCCCTTCCACGCGGTCCACAGCATCCGCGGACAAGTCCTATTGAGAACAGCTCAGGAAAATCTAGTTCGGAATCCACAAGCTCAGATGAGAACGATCCTTGGCTGACGAGATTCACTCCTGCAATGCAAATCAAACGGACCACAGCAACTCAGACTATCACAGCTCAGCAGGGCTCCGAAGCTATCTATACAACGCGAAAGCTTGAGCTAGCTCAGCAGTCAGCCAGTGATATTGCTACTGGACAAAATGAAAGAATTCCTAAGTTTGAGAGGAAACCCAATAAGGAATTGAATGAGAGCGATCGAGCCGCACACCAGACATCTGAAGACGTTGGATTCACACAGATCACAGTAAAAGCAAGGGGTACAGAAGAAAAAGGAAGGTTCGAAGAGCAAGCTGTTGAAAAGAAGAGGCTCATTGAAGAGAAGAAAGCTGCCATCGCAACAGCAGAGGCAGAGAAGGAGGTCAGGATTGCTGCTGAGAACAAGGTTGTCCAAGAAAAGAAGAAGAGAGATGACGCAAAGAGTCAGAATGCTGAGATCAGGAGGCAGGTAGAAGAGGTTGGAGCGGCCGCTAAGAAATTAGCCGCTGACAAGAAGGCCGCGAAAGAAGAAGCTAAACAGAAGACAGAACATGTGAAGAAACAGCCTGCCGCGGAAAAGAAAGAACTAATGAAGCAGGCGGATGCGGAGAGGAAGAAGGTGAAAGATGCCATAGCTGCTGAGAAGAAGAGAACCGCTGACAATGAGGCCGCGAGAAAGGAAGCTGAACAAAAAGCTGCCGATGAAACCGCAGAAGCTACCGAGTTAGCAACTGCCAAAGCAAAAGAAGCTGCGGCAACTATCAAGGCCGTCAACAACGAAGGAACTCTTGATATCGTTCCAACGATCGAAGGAATTCTTCCAGACAAGCCGACTGAGAAACCGACCAAGCCGCCTAAGACTTCCAGGGAAAGATCATCAAAGATCTTGAAAGGCACAAAACGTAAACAGCTTTCTCCTGATCCATTTGAAGATGACGCTGTCGATGAAAGAGAACCTGTTAAGAAACCTCGTCCTAACAAAGGAGCATCACCGACGTCCACACCTGTTAGACGTAGCGCACGTCTTCGCACACAGACACCAACGAAAACACCTACACCGCAACTTGAGTTCCCATCAGATGTTAGTGTCACTGAGAACAGTGAACATGATATTGAGGACGATGGTAAGAGAAAGAAAAGCAAGAAGGGGAAGAATGATGTAGATGACTATAAGCCACCTGGTAGTACGAAGAAGAGGACTCCGACGAAGGTTGCAAAGGCAGCACGGGAGAGAGCGATGGGTAGCAAGGCAGTAACGCTGGCTAAGGCGAGAAAGAGAGCTGCTGATGAGGAAGAGGAAGAAATAGAGGAGATTACGAAAAAGAAGCCGACCCAGAAGTCGGTCAAGACGCCACCCAAAAAGAAGGTGAAGAAGGCCGATGGAGATGATAACGAGTTATAGGGATGAATCTTTCATCAACGTTTCCTCTTTGACGTTCTCGTAGCTTCAGCCGCTACAAGCTTTTTTGTTCTTGGAAAATCTATCAAACACTATCTGTGCCGTGACTTTCATTCGGCTCTCAAATACGGTGAGTACGCATGAGGATGCAGAGATAATATATAAAAAAACAGTGACTGAATCGTCCTTCTGAATCCTTCAAGCAACCAAGGCCAGAGAGAATTTTAGGGGAGATTTCGTTGACCTGGAGGAGGCCGGGGCGAAGACATAAATGATAAGCGTGAACATGCGGTCATGAATTTAAGCCTCGCGGTACAGAATAGAACAGATTAGCGACGAGTGTTACCGATTCGTAGATTTTTACGATGATGACAATCAAAGCTTCTTGTACAAGAATGAGGTCTTTGTATGCAACGTTCCCAGCCAACCAAAAGCAGCAGCTCCGCCAGCTCAGCCGCATGATCCCCTCACCACTCACCAGGCTGAAATCTTCTCTAGTCAGCCTTGAATATCTCTCATTATCTCGCAACTAGTCGGACAGCGTTGCAATCATTAGCCAAGGCTTACGCACACACACATCATTTGATCCCAGCCACTTGCGACTACTAGTATCAAATATGAACGCAACGATGGCAGCTACACAACCGCTTCTCGATTGGATCGCAGCACATCCCTATCAAACAATGTTCCACGTTGTCAACGGCGTCGTACTTCTCACGCCTGCAGCCGCTACTGTACCTTTCTTCAACGCACTTGGATTAAGTGCGGGAGGGCCCGTCGCGGGTAAGTCGCTGCCTACTAGGTACCCAGAGGCTCACACCGTATTGGATACTGATGATATCGCAGGCTCAGCAGCAACTTCCATCATGAGCTTCTTCGGCTATGTACCCGCAGGTGGCATCTACGCGACAGCTCAAAGTGCAGCGATGGGCGGATATGGCGCGAGTATTGCCGCCGGAGCAGCACAGGCAGGTGCGATGATGAGCTCTGGAGCTGCATGGCTGTTCGGACGCAACGGCACTGGGGTCTAGGCATCCATATATCAGAATGGACGATCCAGCGTTAGGGTAGCTCGACGTGGAGCGGATATGGTATGCGTTGCGAGAAGAGGAAGTAGATGGCCAATGACGTGTTACCTCGGCTCGGTTGCTCCTTCACGCCAAGGTCGTAGACTCGACTTGTATGATCAAACATGCCTATCATATAGAACGCCTTACACCGTCCTTTGCCTTTGCCTGTACTATATGAACTCTGATGCAGAAGAGGTGTTGGCCTGCTGATCTCTCACTACCGCATCGTTGACAGCAAGCTGTACTTGAAGTCAACATAGAGAAATGGAGCCAGCAACCTCCCCACCAGCAGCAGATATCGCAAAACCACTATCCGATTTCCAAAAGATAGGCCACAACACATACCTCTGGACCTCGCCGCCATACTTGTCTCAGCCCGGAGATCAAACACCACTCATCCTCCTCTTCGCCTGGAATGCCGCGGCTGCAAAGCACATTGCCAAATATACACTCACCTACAAAGAGCTTTTCCCCACATCCCGCATCTTACTAGTACGATGCTTCACTCAAGACATGTTCCGCAGCGCCTCTTCCTATAGCTCTTTACTCCAGCCAGCAATAGAGCTTGTAGCCGAACACACCACTGCAGGAGGCGAAGTCCTCGTCCACAGCTTTTCAAACGGCGGCGGAAATCAAGTCAATGAGTTTGCGAAGGCTTGGAAGAAGAAGTACGGCACACTACTGCCGATGCGAGCACAGATTCTCGATTCTAGTCCGACAAAAGGTCCATGGATGAAGAGCCACGCAGCGATATCTGCGTCTCTTCCCAAAAGTATGTTTTGGGTTTGGTTTGGTGGGGCACTGGTACATCTCTTGCTTATTTGTACATTCATTGCCGATAAGTTGATGGGAAGGGAGCATATGATGGTGGTTTTATGTCGGCAGCTGAATGACGAGTCGGTATTTGATACGAAAGTGCCACGTGTGTATCTATATAGCAAGGCGGATCAGATGGTGGGTTTCGAGGAGGCAGATGAACATGCTGATATTGCCAAGGCAAAGGGGTGGGATGTGACGAAGGTTCAGTTTGAGAAGAGTCCGCATTGTGGGCACATAAGAGAGGACCAAAGAAAATATTGGACGGCGGTTGTTGTAGCTTGGACGAAGGGGCCAAGGGACAAGTAGAGCCACTGGCTAACAGGTATGCCAGTGTAATGTAATGTTCATGCTGAGATGGCAGTATCTCGAGCGTGAACAAATGCATTGCATGTCCGTAAATCTATAATCTAGCTGCCACCAGCGAGAGGTAAATGTTCCATAACAGACCACAGAAACTGAGGAAGACAATGCGGCGCTCGACGGGGACAAAGGTCGTGCTGAAGAAGTTGGCAATCGGCCAGACTTTGTATGAATCGAAGATGAGACCAAAAAGCTCCTATCTCATGTATTAGCCATGCACATGGAGACGCTTCATTGGAGGGGCGTACTTACGTTTCTGAAGTCTTGTACAATCAATGCCACAGTCTTGCCCTTCATGAGACCGATCAAGATCAAGAACATGGACTGATTCAGCAGGGCGCCCATGGTAATACACTGCTTATTGTCAGCCCTTGCACGCGACGGAAAGTGAAGAGTGAGCCACGCACGTCCGTGAACCATTTCCTAAAGATATTCCACCAATTCCTTACTCTGACCTCTTCTTCCACTATGCTTTTTCCATCCCCATCCTCTCTCAGCATTATGCCCTTCTCCTCTTCACCTTCCCCTACCGCCCTTGTCTGCCTAACCGTCTTCCAGCCCGGAAATGCGCGTTCGAGCCAATTCTGCCAATGGTAGTTGATGGGTGCGGTAAGTACGACCATGATGGCGAACTGGGTGAAAAGAACACGGTCGAAGACGAAGGGCTTTGATTCGTTCCATGCTTTGAGGCGTTGCGCAATAATGTTGCTGCACGAGTCTATGGCGAGGGCGGAGAGACAAGCTACAGCGATCGGGGGTAGCTTCATGATTGCGAGGAAGGTGGTAGAGAATCGGCGGGATGGTGAGAACGTTGAGGATTGGTTGCAGGACCGATTGTGAGATGCGGATCAGCGAGGCCAAGTAAGCATCGGATTACGCGCGGGTTTCGAAGAGGAGCGGCGCTCAGGCAGGTCGGCGTAGAGCGACGGTCGTTGAGGTGGAAGAGGACAAAAGCAAATCAGGGCGCGGCATTGCAATCTGCTATCGCTGCGCCGTTGAAATGCGACTCCACATTTGTTGGTGTTGCTATTGCGCGTCCGTTCGGTGCATCTGAGCCCGAATCAGACGGTGGCTTGAGGGGTGGCGCAACTGACTCGGCGGTTTTCCGTTCTCCCATAGGTACCAAAACTCACTCTTGACCTTCCACTACTCACCAGGCTCTTCACTATCCTGCCAGGCAGGTACCGGGATGCAGTTCCATTGATATGAGACTGTGCATGTGCTGCGGAGCTGTTGTAGCTGTTCGTCGAGCTCGCGGCGGACCGCAATCTAAACAACCTCGGAAACAAAGAAACCATGAACGTCCAATACTCATACTGACGTTTAACCTATCGGAAGAGCAAGGAGTTCACAATCATCCTCGTACAAAATAGAACAAGATACACACAAGTCGTAGGCCTCTTTCTAAGCAGGAAGGCGCATATCGTAATGTTAGTCCAAATTCCCAATAGACAGACGTTGGCTCGTGGTAATCCCAGATCCAGGGTTAGCGTCCTGCTCAACTTCATTCTGACGTTTTGGAAAATCGATCCGATTGCAATCGAGTTGCAGCCTCCATCATGTTTAACGCAAGACAAAGGCCCTAAAACAACGTGTGGATAAAAACAGACACGTGGGATCTTGTCCATCAAACTGTTCTTCTGGGTATCTTCTTCGCCCAAACCTCTGGGCGCTGTCTATTTCCTTGGCAACTACAGTCCTTCAGAATTGTCTATTGAATATTCGTTTCAATATCTTCTCTCTCTCTCTCTCTCTCTCTCTCTCTCTCTCTCATTCTGGTCTCTGTCAGTTGTTGACCGGCCCGAACCATACATGCAAGCCAGCCAAATTCCGCTTAACTCCATTGACGATGACATAGCATGCGCTAGACATCATCATTGCTCAGATAACGTCACCGTACAACCTGTTCCCCAGAAACACACCAAACAGATTCTGTAGCTGCCATCGAAAAAGCATAATGTGGGGTCCGATCTCTGTACGTTGGCTGGAGATCTACCGAGGCTCAGTAATCGACTGTGGGTGGGCAGTATCGGCGAACATGTTGCGCCGGCGGACAACTATATTGTAAACTCTTTTCTCGTCAATTGGGCTACAAGACGACAACTATAACTCATCTTGTTTGTACATTACACACCAAAAGAAACTACATCAATAATCGCCATCATCATGTCAAATCAAGCAGCGTGGATCCCAGAAGCGAAGGGACAGCTTCAGGTCAAGGAAGCTCCCATGCCAAAGGCGGGCAAGGGCGAGGTTGTGATTAAGAACCACGCAGTTGCTGTCAACCCCGTGGATTGTGAGTATCTGCACATGTGCGGTTCGTTCAATTGTGCTGATTTGAGCAGGGAAAATCCAGGACTATGGAATCTTCCTGCAAAAGTACCCCAACATCTGTGGTACTGACGTCGCTGGCGAGGTTCACGAAGTCGGTGAGGGTGTAACACATGTCAAGAAAGGCGACCGCGTACTAGGGTTTGTCTCCAGTCTCATGAGCTCCAGCGAGAGAGTATACTGACAGCATGGTGCAGACATGCATTTTCCCTCGTTACCAACGACCCTGCGCACGGCGGATTTCAGCTCTACACCGCCTGCAACGCACTGGTCGTATCGAAGATTCCATCCGACATGAGCTTCGCGTCAGGTTCAGTCCTGCCTCTCGCCATTTCAACTGCAGCCGCCTGTCTCTATAAGAAGGAGACGCTCGGGCTACCGCTGCCATCCTCCAACCCCTCATCTACAGGCAAATCAGTATTGGTATGGGGCGGCTCGAGCAGCGTGGGTGCGACGGCGATTCAGTTGGCGGCTGCATCTGGCGTGAAGGTTGTCAGTGTGGCAAGCAAGCACAACCTGGAGAAACTCAAGGGCCTTGGCGCAACAGCAGCGTTTGACTACAAGGACCCCAAGGTTGCCCACGACATCATGGCCGCTCTCGAAGGCACAGAATTCGCGGGTGTTTGCGACGCCATCGGTACGCCAGATGCCGCGGCTGCCTGGACACCAGTATACGAGAAGCTCGGTGGACGCTACGGCTCCGTCTTGCCCGCTGCGGAGGGTCTCCCCAAGGGCATCGAGGGCGCCAGTGTCTTCGCTCCAACTGTAGCGCTGGCTGACAAGTACATTGGCGATGTTGTCTGGGCGCAGTGGGTACCAGAGGCGCTAGAGAAGGGCACGCTGAAGGCTGTTCCAGAACCACTGGTGGTTGGAAAGGGACTGGATGCGGTAGCGGAGGGCTACAAGAAGCAGAAGGAGGGTGTCAGCTTCCGCAAAGTCGTCATCGAATTGTAAGCCTCGCGGACAGGACAACCCGCTAGCCTAAAGAACGAACATGGTATGAACTCAGGTCGAATATGATCATAAGCGCAGTCCCATGTGATATCACTCGAATAAATCTTCTGGAAACTTCGCCAATTATTACGAGCACATACCTTGGTACTTGACCATCAGGGGAGCTGTTCGCAGTCTCGGCGAAAGGTACTGCCGAACGGGCCCACTTTAAAGTTTTTAGCTTCCTGCACCTCTTCTTCAGTTCGCATTCTTCCTCTCCTCCAGTTGCCAGCATATAAAGTGCTGGCCGATCCGTCGCCTCTTTACTGACAACAGTATCCTCGTGTTACCCACTCGTTCCTGTAAGTACTACCACACATTTTCACACCCTTACCCTCCCCCGCACTATGATGAAAAACGTTCCACATTCGCAGTTTCCACGCTAGCCATCAATCGAACCTACTTTAGATGGTCAATGAGCGCGAATACCTTCCTTGGATGTCTGATTTGCTTTACATCTCTACATTACAGTTACGATGCCTTTTCACGAGCTTTCGCTGACTTCCAAAAGACATTTTAGTTCCTGAACATAGCCCACTTGTATGCTGCTACGGACAAGGACCTAGGCAACTCAGTATGTTGGCCACCAGGTTCCGGTCACTAGACATTGGCAAAGACGTAGTTGAAGTCGGAGTTTTGACTAGTTCATTCAATACTCATATACAATTAATACCAAGAATACCTCTGCTCTGCCTTCCCAATTCAACATTGTCCATCATGCTACTGCACCTCGTCTTTCTTGTCATCTCTGGTTCTATCTTTGCACGGGTATAACATCTGCTTTGCACTCCAGTGTCGATCGTTTAGAGCATAAAGAAGGTGAAGAGACCGGTCATACCAGCGAACATGGCGCTGCCGGCGAGATGAGATGCGGCGCCTGTCGCTGCTGGAGAAGAAGATGATGATGACCCAGATGTGGAGGTGCCGTTCTCCGACAGGTTGCCGCCAGAGCCGGCGGTCGATGTAGGAGACACATTCTCGGTGGCCTTCTCAGAGGCGTTCTTGAAAGCCTCGATAGTGTTGGGACCGGAAGCCCTAAACAATGTCAGTCAAAGCAGGCGTTCTTAGAACTCGTGAGGACTTACGGTGGGTTGATAACACCGACCATGCCATTTTGGCAGTGCTTGCCCTGTGTGCAGTAGAACCAGACAGGTGCCGAGGCGTTCTTGACCTCGTATGTAAAGGTTGTAGGCGCAACAGCCTCCATGTCGGTGGTTGGGACGAAGCCACTCCAGAAGCCATTCTGCATGGGCTGGCAAGGGTTGGCAAAGGTAGCTTGGGCGACGGAGTGGTTCTTGGGCCAGAACGAGAAGGTGACAGTGTCGCCCTCGGCGGCCTTGAGGCTGTCTGGCTTGAAGACAAGATCACCAGCCTTGGTACCGACAAGGACCTTGTGGTCCGCTGCAAAGGCAGCGCTGGCCATGGCCGAAGCAGCGAAGATGGTGGAGAAATGCATTATGATTGGTTTGTTCGGAAAAGAGACTAGCTCGTTTTGGTGATTAAGATAATGCGGGAAGAAACAAAGGGATGTCTTGGTGTGTAATTGGTAGTGAGAAGTGAAGAACGTGGACCTGCCTGCCGAACAAAGGTGAGCACATTTGCGAGCATTTTATAGTACAAAGAGAGAAACAGTTGCCGCCCGTCGAGCGGATGAGTCGGTATACCCATCCCATGGCATAACAGCTTCGAGACTTCAGGCGTCGCGAAGGCATGCTTTCTTGACGCCTGAACTCTCCAAGCGAGATCTGGGGAAACAGGGCGGTCAATGCAGCGCGTTTTTACTGGCCATGTTTGCCGTGGGCGCCTCTATCCAGCCACTTGCCGCTCGCGTACGACCGTTTCTTGCCTTAGGCCGTTGCTGTGGCTGTATGAGAGCCAAGACTAGACCCTGATTTCTACGGCAAACGTGTTTCTGGCGAAGGGATGAAACTCCGTGTTGAGCGTTGATGGAACACGGCGTGTTTTAGAGAGCGTGCACGGAACCCGAACACTATTCTAGCCTCGCTCCCTCACCCGTTGCCTGCATATCGACTGCCGTGACAGCGGACGCGTATCGTCGCGACGTCTGGGGCGCAGACAGTTGACAGGCCGTTGTATCCGCTAAGAGGAGAACCTCCGTGCGAACTCATACGCTTCGCGAAACGTGCGACAGCGCCTACAGCTTCCGGTGCTGACCTCGGGGCCTCGGAATGGTGCTACTCCACATCTTCCGGTCGAGTAGATCTCATGATATTGCATCAGCTCACCATCCGGCGTCTTCCCACTTGCGCAAGGCGTGGCGACAACTTTACTTGGGTCTAATTACTTCATGCCTTCGGAAGACGTCAAAGCGCTGGCGGAGATGGTGTCCCAGCACTCCGACGCTTTACCCAGTGGCTATGTTGAATCTCCACTCTTACGAGGTCGCGGTCAATGGACATACACTTACATTATAATCGGGCTGTGCGAAAGAAAAGCTACAATTAGATGTCACGTGGTGACATTCGAGTGTTGCTTCAATGGTGAGCAGGCAATCCATGTGCTGACCGAGGTTATCGTTGCTGGTGTGAGCGCTACCCCAACAGCCAGCTAATTCGACTGCGCACTTCCCTGGGCAACAGCTATAGCTCCATCGTACAGCGCTGTAGCGGGTTATAGTCAGATCTCGTGTTCGTCGACGTGGCGTTGTTACCGCCCCTTCCGAGGCCATACCCAGTGCTCCCTCTTCTTTCGGTTACAACACCAGGCCTAACTCTCGTGAGATGTCTTTATCGTGCGCAAGTTCCGGCGGGGTGCAGTATTGTTTTATTGATCGCTGCCCATGGCTACCTGTTATGGCACATCGAATGTAACCATCCGTCAATGCCCGGACCCTTTTCCTCGCCTGCTGGACCCTTTACAGCTAGTGCAAGCCTCTCCCGCTGCTAGTCTTCCAAAAATATCGCAACTCTCCGCATCGACTCTCGTGTCTTTTGACGCTATGAGCTCATCTGTGCTAATCTACCGTGAAAACCGCTATTTCATGGTCATCTGCTTTGACCGTTGAAGCTAGTGTTGTGGGAATGGTAATTGATTCCGGGATGTTGCTCGCACTCGCATTTCGTTACCCTGTCCAACTGCCATTGTGACGAAAGACGAGGTGGTAGCCTCGGATTGTAGAGTGGAGGCTTCGTGATGGTGAGCGGTATAAAGGATGATGCACTCGCAGCTGTAATAGGGCATCATCAGCTACCAACTTTCCAGCTTCTACTCCCCAATCTCCTACAGCAACCACCGTTTCGCCACACATCTCCATTCTCCAAGCCTCTACCCGTCTACCATCAACACTATGCAATTCTCCAGCGCCATCTCAGCTGCCATCCTTGGCTTCGCCAGCCTTGCTTCAGCCATCACTGTCAGCTACGACACCGGCTACGATGATGGCAGCCGCTCCTTGACCGCGCTCGCCTGCTCAGATGGTGCCAACGGTCTCATCACCAAGTACAACTGGCAAACTCAAGCCAATGTTGCTGGTTTCCCTCGCATCGGTGGATACATGGGTGTTGCTGGATGGAACAGCCCTCAGGTATGTGCAGTATCTACTCCACTTTATCTTCACCGTCTAACAATCTATACCAGTGCGGAACATGCTACGGCGTCACCTACAACGGAAAGACCGTCTACGTTCTCGCTGTCGACCATGCTGCCCAGGGTTTCAACCTTGCTAAGGCAGCCATGGATGAGCTTACCAACGGCCAAGCTGCCGCTCTTGGACGTATTGATGCGCAATACGCCCAGGTTGCTACCAGCAACTGCGGATTGTAAGCACTGAGCTTCCATCAAAAGGACGATGACAAACATCGAATAATGTTTATTTATGGGTTTCATGATGGGTATTGCATAGCATAGCGTTCCTTATTTGCATGCGGCGGCGTTTATATACACTCCTTAATCAAGTAATGGTCGATGTCCAAGGCAGACTTGCCTACTATCAAGAGAATTCCTACCTATGTGATGCTATATCTGTGTGGTTCCCGATCTTGTGAGATCCACGGAGGCCATCAACAGCGACCCACAACCTTCATAGCTTTCTTTTCCTCTTTTATCGTAAATGTCATAGTAGTGCTGCGGCAGGGCAGGATGAGCATCAGTTCACTTGTGTTAGCATTGTGCTCCGTATCGAGAAGTACAGTTAATGTCTCACATTTCTCATCACCAGAGCCATTTCTTGATTTTTCCAGATGTATAACCGCGACAGAAGGATTGGGTTATTGGGGCTTCCAACTGCTGCTAGTCGTCCAGAAATTGGTGTTGTTGCCGCATATACTGAAACACTCACATCACAGTGGTTGTTCCCTTATTTCGAAAATGTGGCTTGGGATAGTCGTGTACGAAGGAAAGCAGTTAGCTTTACACACTCGATCAACACCATAATATTGCGGAGAACATTGGTACTGCTTGTACTTTAATCGTCAAGAGGTTGGATGAAGGGATACAACTGGTAATCGAGATGACTGAGAAGGCTTCGATGAGGCTACAGTCATGGCAGAGGCCAATGCCGATTTACGTCGTGCAGGCAGTTGCGAAGTTTGAGTGTGTGACATGAGCATTCATTCATGATTTCTATCTATTGACGTTAATCGTCATATCTCTATGAGATCTAAACACTTGGTGGTATATCGCTGTTCGAAAAGGAGGGTCGTCTCAAAGATGACCAAAGGACTTTTATTGTGGAAACGAAATATGCATGTCCCAAGAGTACCGAAGCTACGCCCGCATAGCCATGCGCCCGTGACATGATATTAGATAGGATTTGCAAGAAAACTTGAGTGGTGATGGTGATCAAGCACCTCGAAACAGCACTTGTTTAACGAGGTGTTGAAGCAAGCAATCGACCAAGACTTCCACTGGCGAACGATGGCTCAGGGACCGGTGACTTGGCATAGACAATCTCGCCTTCGATTGTACTAGTAGACGTTTTTGATATGGATGCCGCTGACTTGTGCGAGTATGACTTTGGGCTCGACGGAGCCGTTAATGGGGTAACCAGGTCGATCGACTTGGCTCCATAGGATCCACTATGCGACGGCTTTGTCCTAGGTGGGAGAGGCCTTGTAGTGGCGGGTGTGTATGGAAGCGAGTAGCTCACCGACGAGGCCGGGGTATGTGAGAGCGAAGGAGCGGTACTAAAGCTGATTTGCGAAGTGGAGTTACGGTTGTAGCGGGGTCGAACGGTATCAGGGAAGTATGCAGGTGATTGGAATTTGCGAACGTATTTTGACGCGTCCGAATCAAAGCGCTGATACCGGTCGGCGCTGTTGTCGTCTGATGAGATGTCGGAGAAAGCACATGACGAGCGTTTTGACTCAGGCTGAGTGGGGGAGCGCTGAGGTACAATGTCGCGGAAGGCAAAGTCGTCGAAGGTGAAGTTGGCAAACGGCGTAGTTGGCGGTGAGTAATGATCGTATGAATAGGTAAGGCTCTTCTCGGTGTCCTTCTTCTTGCAGCTACATGTGCATGTTAGTGGATGGTCCGTGCACAGCTGAGTGGGTGTGTGCCATACCTTTCCGAGCAGTATAGCACAGAGTTACTAGGAACAATAATTTGCTTCTCGCAGACAGTGCTACAACAAAACATTAGCACACAGTAGTGAGGAGTCGATGACGACAACATACCAGTAGTTTAAAAAGCTAACCGCCATTGAGTCCTCGTCTTCGTCGGATTCGACTTCCTTGTAATGAACGACTTTGGAAGCGGATTTGCTTCCGTGGGAATGAGTCCGCTTTGACAGAGGCCTGGAAGGCCGTGCGTGCGCAGGTTGCGACTTTTTGGATTGATGGGACGGGTGACGAACGTGATGCGTGGCCATTATGGACGTGGATGAACTTTAAAAGCCTCACTCTGATAATCGCGCACGGTGCACGATCTTGTTACAGGGCTGGAAGTCGGGCAGCGAAGAAGCGGTGACACAGGCCGCCGAGTTACTTGCTGCTGATATGACGGAAGGTTCGTGCGTGGCTTTGTTTAGAATCCTTATCGCTTGGGTTCTGCGCCAACGTTTTAGCCAGGAACACTATAATGGATGTCTAGATCGTGACGATGTACAAGGACGGAGACGGATGGATGGATCAGGCGCCCTTTGGTGGAGAGCAACAACAATGCGACACCGGGAACATGTAGACAAGTAACTTACCAGGACAAGATAAGGGACGTGCGACGTCGGGAGGGAGGATGAAAACAGGTCCCAGTACTTTCTGATAGGCGGTGCAGTGTATTCCCGGGGAATGACGATGCGCGGGCTGGGCTGGGGGCGATAAGCAGCAGTTCGTGAGAGAGAGCAAAGCCGAGTATTTCCACGAGGCAGGCGGCTTTCAGCGGCAGGGGAATAAGTAATGTATCGGGGATCGATAAGAAGACGAGCGAGGAACTGTGGTCAATAAGTAATTACGAGACCGGTGCCTGCGATTTCCGATGTGCAGTTCTAGAACGCGGTTGACGACGACGGATCTAAATATGCGGTCGGGATATGGTTGCGCGTGTGGGGATGATTCGTGATAGCCATCAGGATAGAGCCATTGATATCATCCAGCACGCCATACCGGCACCCGCTGCGCGCTGACTCCTCACCACCGACCCCCACTCGCATCCACCACGGTGCCTTGCTACAATTTAATTTTTCCCGTTGCAGCCACAGCGGGGAAGCCTGGCCATACTGCATCATTAGGCATCGCAGCGTTGTGCATACAGACGTCGTGGGCATCGTGTTGCAGCGAATGGCGGGCCGAAGCATGCACACGGAAATACCACAAGGTCCACGTTCTTGTGCACTTCGGTACAACTCGCAGCGGGTACCATACTACACACCACTGTCCATTCGGGTGCGTATCGCTGATGCGACATTGTCCCATCTTCTTTGTGTTGCGAGCTCTCTCAACACAATGAAGCCATATTGCGTGTGTCTCACACACTTCTTCATCCAGTAATCCGGTGCGGCCCCTCCTGTAATCGACTCACCACTCCGCTGTCGGACTTTGAACAGCGTTTTGCAAGCTCACAAATCTCACCAGTCGGCTTACGAGCCGCCCTACATCGTGTTTGTTCCTTGTCCATAATTCGCATGTCTGAAGCACCCTCCGCCTGAGTGACTTTTGACTGTGCATAAGCAAAATGCGGGTCCATTGTCTACTCGCGTAACTCTATCCTAGCGGCCGCGCAATGAAAGAGCCAACCGGATCTTCTAAAGTGCCCTCACCGTCTCGTCGACGATCGTGAATCATCAGAAAATCTCTTAGGCCTGAAACCAGACACCTTACTATGTGCAGCAGTCCACGATCGTCAGGGTGTGTGTGTACCCGCAGTAGAAGTCTAGCCTTCATATGTCGGTCAAGAGTTTTCTCTCTCAACATCACAAACCTCAAACAGAAAACGGGTCGTCGATGGATTGTCCTTTCGTGACACGCCACAGTTGGATCGGGGTCGAAGTTGGATAAAACGGCCCTTCCTGTTGATGTTCAGGTACCGGTGGGCAATCAACCTGCTCGAATCTGAAACGGTTCCGCTCTACCCCACAAAAGTCAGCAACAACTCACCCAATGTCATAACATGGCCAGGAAAACAAGACGCGGAGAGACCCACTACACGCGTTCAAAAAAGTCTCGAACGTCTGCTCGTTGCGAATCGTCGCAGATATTAAGACTTCGAGTGCCGGGTTGATGTCAAAGAATTCTCCTAGGGTCGAGACCAGACGCGGTATGACGGACTTGTCGTATGTCTGCGACGTTGTTAAACCCACTTCACCACAACGATGCAATGGCAATGGCTTACGACGTCTGCTCCCATCACAATATCTGGCACTTCCATGCCATAGTCTTCGGAAAATGTCGTCGCATCAACCGGATAGCCCCACTTTAACGCCGCTGTCCGTACCTGGACCTGAGACTTGTCATCGACATCGAGTCCATTGAGAAAGAGATTGGTTTTGATGGCATCGACAACGGCCTCGTCGCCGTCTGTAGCAACGACACCAGCAGCTCCCAGGTGCTTTGCGCAAAGGATTGACAACATGCCAGTTCCCGCGCCAAGTTCAAACAATCTCTTCCCGTAAACGGATGATCGGCCAGTCTCGGATGCAAGATGCGATCCGAGAAGCAACGCGGCTTCCCACGTCCTAAGACCAGTAGTTCCAGACGATGAGATGACGGATCGCGCTTCAAGCAGCGTTACTGCCCGCTCGTGCGATGTGCTGTCGTCATTCAGTCGCTCAGGGTAAGAGTACGTCACAAATGCTTTTTGCTGAGCCGCGTCGGCCTCGGAGGGCAGATCAGCAACAAGCAGAGTAGTCATCGCTTCCATAATATCATCTGAGATTTCCTACAAACAGAACGAAATGAAAGGTCAGCACATGCTGGAACGTATCTTCGCCATTGAAAGAAGGCTATTGCGACTTGATGTGTGGCTGAGCTACAGTAGAAATGAAGCAACGATGAAGAGATAGGAGACCATACATCCTCCTCCGGGTCAGTGATCGACCTCTCGAGTTTTGCGACGAGTTGTTTTAGTGTCCTGAGCTGGTAGCGCTCCGGAGGTGGTGAAGTGACGTTGGCTGTATCAAACAGATTCTTGAACAACCACGACTGCACTTCCGGCGCTTTCAACGTAGCATCATCTGGCCACTTGAGATTCTGAGGCTCTACCAGCTGGAAATACTGGCGTTGCAGTATGCGCAGTTGCGGCAGATTGCGAGGGTCGTCCATAGTGATGGAAGCTGTTTAGATCGAAACCGTATCTCTAATATTTGCAAAGCGCTCCAATATCTCTAGTGAGCCAGCTTGACTTTTTGGCGAATGTGACAATGTTCGAGGTCAGCGCTGCCACTTGACGAGGGGGAGGATTTCCATGTACGTGCTTACCTAATTTTGCAGCGGGGCGGCTTGGCAGTCTAAGCGAGCAGACGCACCGCCGACCGCCGACACGTTGAACGCAAATTCGACATCTCCATCTTGCCGCCAGCTAACCACAGGTAATCGACAACAGCAAGATCGATCTCTGTCCAGTACGTTCACTACCGACCCAACTCGCCGTGTCGCTCTTGTGAATTCCGTCTAATTGCCGCGTTGCAGGTCGAATCTTCCCAACATGGCCGACTCTCAAGTTACTCTGCGCACGCGCAAGTTCATCCGCAACCCTCTCCTCGGACGTCGTCAGATGGTCGTGTAAGTGCAGGAACTGCCGGGCACGCAATTGCGGGGGATTGAGTCTGACGGGATTAATACAGCGATGTCCTCCACCCCAACCGCGCGAACGTTTCCAAGGACGAGCTCCGTGGCAAGCTCGGTGAGCTGTACAAGGCCAAGAAGGACGATGTCTCCGTCTTCGGTTTCAAGACACACTTCGGTGGCGGCAAGAGCACCGGCTTCGCCCTCATCTACGACAGCGCCGAGGCCATGAAGAAGTTCGAGCCCCGCTACAGGCTAGTACGCTACGGCATGGCCACCAAGGTCGAGAAGGCCAGCAGGCAGCAGCGTACGTCTCCCCTGCGTCTACAAACACTGCTGCGACTATGGCGATGGATATGGGCTATGTCACACAACATATACTGACTGGATAACAGGCAAGCAGCGCAAGAACAGGATGAAGGAGTTCCGGGGCACAGCCAAGACCAAGGGTGGTGCGAAGAAGGACAAGAAATAAGCGGGTGCACACTGATGATGACTACGAAGGTCATGGCTGGAGTCGATTGGCGGTTTCTCTACAACTACTGGTTCGCCTGGTTCTTCATCATGGTGGATACGGAGTTGCTTCTGCGGGCATCGGCATGTATATCTACGAGCGCCTGAAAAACTCTTGCGGATGGGAACGACAAGACGGATGGCGTTTGAGATCAATTGTCTGCTAACCATCAATGCATATCATGGACTTTACGATCCTCCAATTATTTTGCCACTCACTCCAAGATTTCGGATGTTTCCCTCCGGTCACACTGTTGTCCTGTCTCGTGCACACCACATGGAGGAAAGAGCCTTAAGGGTCAGATCTCTTACTTCCATATTTGATGCAACGTTTCATGATAATGTCGGTATGGTTTTCCATTCTGTTCTGCGTAGTCATCAGTCAAACCGTCGCCTTCTTCGCCTCCACAGTACCCACCCCTGGTGACCCAACCCCCACGGGCCGTCCGTTCTTCTCCCTCGCAGCCCTCCACTCCCTGTCCCTAATTTCTTTGGTACTTAAAACAGCCCTTGCATTTCTTTCCAACCCTTCGTCCCTCTCGCTGCCCAACCCTTCAAACCCATGAGCACCATTCGTTCCAACATCCGCGGCAACCTGTGCCTCTAGATCCCGTTGCCGTGTGCGCAGTTGTTCAAGTCGACTTGCAGAGGAAGACGGAGTGCGTGAACGTAGCATGAAGGTGTGGTTCGGAGACATCAGGCAATACCAGAACACGTAGAAGACTATGAAGCCGATGGGGACAAGGAGACTGACAGTCAGGCCGATCGTTGCGCCAGAGGATAATCCCATTTTGGAAGGAGAGTTGCTTAGAGATGGTGGATTCTTGTTGGAGATGCTCTGATAGTAGCAAGCGTAATGTTTCCAAGTCGCTATGTGGTATCAAGCGTACTTGAACCGCGTTGTAGAGCCGAAGCTTCTCAAGGTAAATGGATAGAGCAACAGAGGGCAGAACACGAAGATGCTGAGGCTGTTGTATATAGAGCTTCGCTAACCTTCAATGCATTGTATCGTCCAGCGAACTGCCACGGTGCATACACACGATTCTCACGCTCAAACATCACTATTCTTGCCGTAGGGTAGTGTGAGGATCTGGGTCCTTTCAGTCAGCATGTCCAACAAGCGCATTGTTGGGTACCTTTTCATCACGGACTGATATTCATAGACATCAGGACAGCGTGGTGACTGCATTCAGTAGCATGCCGTCAAATAACGATTGCTGTGATGGTTTGAATTACTACTCTTATTCAATACAGATGCGTGGTCGCCCAAGTGATGCTTTTCCACTTATCAAACAACAATTGAACAATTGACGGCGTCGAGCGTTACTGCTCCCGTGCTTCAAAGTCCTCAGGTTGCCTGGGGTATTCTTCTGAGGACTGTGGCGCAATGTTCTCGACTTCGGACTTGGCTTCCTCCCAAGCGGCCTTGTTCCGTTTTGCCCAGTCGATGTGACATTGAGCGAATTCCATCTGTGGCTGTTAGCAAGAGTTCAAGGAAAGAGATTGGGCTTGTGACATACCATGTAACGTCGTAAATCGTCCTCCTTCTCGCTCTGGAATCTCCGCAGATCCTTCATCACGCCTGAACTTGCGTCTTTGGTGTCTTTCTCAGCGACAGTCAGCGCTTGTTCGAGCTGCCGGTTCGTTAGCGTCTCCAAGTCTCTTAGTATCTATCATCTGAAGCATACCTGTACCATACTGTCCCTTGTCTTGCCGATCTGATCTCTCCGTGTCTTTTCAGGGTCTACATCTGCCATGCCCCTAAAGGCGTGTGTGATGGATCCAAAGAGCTTGTTAGTGACAAAGTTACCACTCGCAGTTTTCTTGTGCGGACTTGTGGGTGGTGAATGGCTATCAGGAGCGCCCTGTGCACTAGATGGTGTATCACCATGTGTGGGTGGGAAGTCAGAATCAATGGACGCCCTGTCTTCCTCCGATCTCCTATGTTGCTCTGCATCGCCGCTACTGCGCTGTGAGCTGTTCGACGCAGCGCGGCTTCGCGGTGGCTGATGACCAACACCACTTAAATGTTGTTCCAGTCGCTTCGATTCTGCTTCGCTGCGTTCGAGCGATTCGAGTAGATTGCGCTTCTTCTCTAGTTCGTCCTTGGTCATATCTTCCTGTATCCGCTTGAGCACCCGATATCTTAGTGTCGAACGTACGACACCGGCAAACTGTGCGCTCTCACGCATGGGCTCAGAGAAGCCTGCGCTGAGCGAAGAAGAGAGTTCGGTCGTCGCAATATACGTGGAATCAACGGCCTGGCCCGTCTTCTCTATGGCCGCGGCAAGAGACTGGGTTTGTTCGGAGAGCGAAAAAGCATTAAAGCGAGCGCCTAGATCCGCCATGTCCTCTCCCCAGTTTCCAAGATGCATAAGCAAGCGTCTGTTGACCTTCTCCATTGGTCCCTGCAGTAGGTGCTCTAAGTCTTTCGACGAGTTCTCAAAGCTGACAAAGTATGGGTCTAGCTCTTCCTCCGACATGTCTCGCGTCTCGGGAGGGAAGCGACCGAAGATAGCAGGACCTGGTGTTGTGTGCGCGGCCGCTGAAGGCATGGCTGCATTATTGGCTGGTGATACTGGCGTACCAGAGCTGGATGTAGCGCCGCCTGACTTCAACTTGGCGGAAGACGAGGGAACTGGAAGATAGCTGTGCGCTTGGGAAGGGTTTGCAGGGTCGAGCGGAGGTGCCTTGAGGATCTGTTTGGGTATATTGGAGACAGGCGGGCTAGTAAGTACGTCATTCTATCGAAACATGTTAGCTCGATAGGATGCTCGGTCGGGTGCTGGACAGGCTTACCCAGCTTGTGTATGGGTCGAGGAATCTCCAGAATACACCGTCTTCCAGAATATCTTTCATCTTCCTGCACCTATTCAAGAAGACGGCCAACATGCGCTTCCGCAGTTCTATGATGCCAGCGTCTTCCTTTGCCTTTGTCGGTTTCGCGGCGTAGTCGGCCATGGTATGCTTCTCGGGTATCGGCGGTACGATGAGCGTTGGGTGCAGCCTGACCAACTCGGCGCGTAACGATGCGAACTCGGAGTATCTGCGCTTTACTTCGAGGCCCTGCATGTGTTAATCTCAGGCATTTCCTGTCTGCCGATCTAACATACGCCGCAATTGATGGTGTACTGTATGTAGTTGACACCGTCCTTCCCCGCGCTTGTGATCAGTACCAGTTGGTCTGGATGCTCGTACAGCCATTGTTCCACGCGCGCGTCATAACCACCCTTCTTGGGCGCCTTGGGGTCTGCATGGTCCTGCTGTTCCTCGTCGTAGTCGACGCTATCCATGTCCCGCTGCGAGACATACTCGGGCGACTCTTGTGCGGGGGACGAAGCCTCAGAGGGCGGAGTCGCGGGACGGTAGGGGACTTGATCATGTCAGCGGATAGTGCTGGCGATTACTTCAGAGGGTGTGTAGAAGCCTTACGGGCAGCAGGCGAAGCTAAACCGGGAATGTCTGATGTGTTGGAATCATGGCGGGCAAAGGATCCATACGGATTGTTGTCCTCGTCGTCCCACATGTCGTTACTGTATTCGTCGCGCTCACTCTGGGGGAACAATGGTGGCTCCTATGGTAAAGCGAGCGGGTTCAGGCTGCAGTGAGTGCGGATCTTGTGTTGTGCGGCTTGGGCATGCTGAAGCTCCAGGCTCTCACGGCAGCGGCAGTGACGTTGCGCCTGGTCCAAGCTCACCCTGTCAGCCACACCTGCTGTTCCAGTGCGCGACCAGCGCGATACGGGCTTCAGGTCGCCACGAACCAGCATGTCTATACGGCGAACAACATCATTTCATGCATCACTTTGTCAGCATCCAAAGTACGCGGATACCTTTCCAAGCCTGTTAGCATACTCCCTTGACCATAAGCTACATCTGTCTTTCCGGCCAACTTTGACGCAAGATTCAAAGCTCACAGACAGAGCATCTGCACGAAAGCATCCCTAGTGGTGTGTGACTATGAATATGAGACCAGGCCTGATCTCTCGGTTTAGCCTAGCGCAAATGCGCTGCCTATAACAGGGCTACTGGTTCTCAGCCTTCTGCTGAATCTTACATTCCTCATCATTTGCGTTTTTCCAGCCTCCTCCTTCTCTCTATCAGAGTTCGCATCACCATGAGACTGTTGAATACCAGATCTCTCGAATTCAGTTGTGTATACGTTCCTAACAGAGTACCGGACTACGTAATCTTATCCCATCGCTGGGGATCAGAGGAGGTTACATATGCCGATATCATACAAGCTCCAGTCTCCGAGCCAGCGAGTGTGACGCGCAACAAAGCTGGCTTCTTGAAGGTACGGGGAGCATGTGCACTAGCTCTTCAGAATGGATACGAGTGGATATGGATCGACAGCTGTTGCATTGACATATCAAGCTCAGCTGAGCTACAGGAAACTATCAATTTGATGTGGAAATACTACAAGGAGTCGAACATCTGTTTCGCCTATTTGGAAGACGTCGTGGATCCGGAAGCAGGCTGGGGCAATGATCAGCCTGTTGGCAAGAGTGAATGGTTCACTCGTGGTTGGACCCTACAGGAGCTCATCGCCCCGTATAGTGTGGAGTTCTATTCATCAGGGTGGCAACCCATTGGCACGAAGCTTGAAAGGTATCAGGAGCTTGCAGACATTACTGGTATCGATCCCGATATTCTGTGCAACTATCGATCCATCTCCGATTTTAGCACAGCAGAGAAACTGTCCTGGGCAGCTCATCGAGCAGTGACAAAAGAGGAAGACGAGACCTATTCACTTTTTGGACTTTTCGATCTCAACTTGCCCCTGCTCTATGGAGAAGGCCGGTTGAAAGCTTTTGTTCGACTCCAAGAAGCCATATACGACACTACATCAGATCACTCAATCTTCTTGTTTCTCCACAGCCACAATAGCGATGACCATCCCCTCTTAGCGGAATCCCCGAGTCAGTTCTGTAACAGAGAGACCTGCAAAATCTGTCCTGATCAGGAAGATGAAAACTATTCCACGTATTTCTCGTATGCTAAGCTGGTGAAATCGGAGAGATGGCACAGACAAGCGAACGAAAAGATCATGATTACTGTTACCATGCGGCGGAACGAGGTGTCGACTGTATTCCCACTGCTGGACTACCCCGAGATTAAAGACAAATTGTCTTATTTCGACGACCTCAGATTCTGTGATAATCCACCCACCCACGTAGCGTTGTTGAACTACACGGTGTCAGCATGCAAGGAAGGCATTCTTTGTCTTCTACTGCGACAGCAACCAGGACAGGATGCCACGATGCGCTTACAAGTTCTTCCGGCGTTGTTGCCTCGTGTAGAAGATGACATTGCACGGCAACTGAAGAAGACAAGGATTCTCATCTGCCCTTTGGAGTCGACCCTTAGAGAAAGAGAAAGTATTCATTATACGGAGACTAAATTTTGCTTCAAGAGTGGATTGTTTTTAATAAAAGATGAAACTCTTGCTATGGGAGGAAGCATGGCAAAGCACAATACCCAAGACGACATCGGGAGAAAAGAGACGCTGTCTCAGATAGATGACAACAAACGATTCAGATTTCAGGCGACGTCAAGTCCGTCAACGGCAGGATGGAAACTTGTTGACACAAAAGACAGGACATTGATCTTACGTCTGATGCAAGAACATGACATTTGGTCAATCAGAGAGGTCCTTGCACCAAAAGAAAAAGGGGTAAGAGTTACACATGAAATGCCGACGTTCCGCAAGGCCAACAAACCTTCTGATCGATTAGCTGTCACTTTACCAGACGGAGAGCGCATATTCGTGAAACTTCAGCGATTGCCGGCCTTCGCAAGTGGCCATGCAGATGGTCAGACAGCAAAGCTACGATACATGATTTCAGTCGAACCTGAAGTCAAATAATGCTAGATTGTGAAACGCTCATTGATCGAGATGGGCCCCTAGATAATCCTAAAGATGTAGATTTCCGTTTCAGACCTTGCTCTCTTTGCTGTTAGCGACGTAATGCTGTGTTGCATCTATTTCCTCGCCCTCCAGGACTCCCGTAATTGTACCCACGTTCTCGTGATCAAAAAATCCTTCATTAGCTGCCAATTCTTCAAACGCCAACTGCCTCTCCGTGCCTATCGGAAGTACCTGCACTGGCCAAATAAGACACAAGCTGTAGTAAACCGATCCTCCCATCAGAAACGATAGTACGAAGCCAAGTTTGTACATGTTTTTGCTAGCCTCGGCTACTGAATCGGGATCCAAAGACCCTGCGACACCATGAACAGTGAACGCAACTCCAGCAATCCAAGCAGCCAGCATGCGCAAATTCCAGCCTTTGTAGTACAAGTATGGACTTTCAGGTGAAGAGGTGTATAGCGAGGGGACGTGGAAATTGCCTCTTCGAACGAGCCAGTAGTCGACGATCATGCAAGCGCATATTGGCATTAAGAACACGGTGTAAGATCCGAGAAAAGTGAGGAACGATGTAGCGGAGGCGATGATTTTCCATGGAACAAGTAGAGGCGCGAGGACCGCACAGAGTACTTGGCCTCGGACGATGGTCAGCCAGCGAGGGAATATTCCTGTAAGATCGGCGCCAACAGGGAGAGAGTTACTTCCAGCGTTGGTGACAAGTACAGCGAGCATCATGCCGAAAGACGCGAACACCATTCCTGCTCGAGCTCCAGGAGTCCAATATTGATCCAAGATGGCGTCATAGAGGTCCCAAACGTTCCAGTAGCTTTTACCAAGGACTTGTGTTGCAGCTGCAGTCGTCGCGGTACTCAGGAACATGACCAGAACTTTGCTGATAAGGATACCTACACCCTGGCTCCAAGTCACATCGCTGTACGAATGTCCGTATCGTGCTATATCAGGTTGATTGATGAGCACCGGTGCCAGAGCACCCATGACAGAGTTGATGGCTTGAATCATAGGCCAGATGAGATCTGCACCCGAAAGCTGTGTCTGCTTAGTTGTATAGGTGAAACTTCCGATCTTGCCTCCGTTAGCGCTGATCACCCATCCAAGTACACCGAAGAGTGCTATCGTGGTATAGACAGCTTTCATCACGAAGAGATGTCGAAGTACCGTTGGATGAATGAACATGACCGGCATTTGTACCTGTCGAAATCAGCGTGATTCCTAGAGCCAGAACTCAAATAGAGAGTTTGGAGGACACTCACCATCCAGAACAAGAAGAAGCTCAGCAAATCTCTACTTGTAATTCCCGCACTCTCTGGAAGATGATTCGGAATATTGTTGTAACCGTTCCCGAAGATGCCGCGCATGAAAACCGATGTGATGCGTCCTCCATAGTACGTCTGGGTCGCGAAGTAGATAATCGCTACTACTGCTCGTACTAAGATATACAAACTGGCACCTCTCACACCAGCAGCCGCGCGTACATAGACAGGGAAACCGATGAAGTACTTGATAGCGCCACGACTGTTGAGCACGACCAAAATGGTGAGAATGGCTGAACCGATTACCGCAGCAATCATGCCGTGCCACCAGAGAAGACCAATCGAGACTAGAGATGCACCAAGGTTGTATGAGGAGGGGCTGAATGTCATGGTCAAGTAGTAGGCGAAATAATGTTGCCATCTCCATTTCCTGTCCGCTGCATCCTATCAGTCGCAAGCCTCACAGAGTTGGATTGTATTGTCCAACTTACCCGGTGGACTGGGGAGGAGATCTTGGTTGTACCGCACTTCTCCATGATCGTTTGTAGTTTGCAATGTCTCCTTGAACGACTTTGGAGAACTGAATGCTGCTTTGCTTCGCTGCAGAAAGCGCGACATGGTGCTCAAATGAGAACTATCCCAGATCGAGATCAGTCCAGACGCCCATCTCGTGCGTAGCTCCGGAGCATATAAGCCAGTTCATTATTGATACAGATTGCATATCTTGCCACAATGATAGCCAAGCCATCCTATCAGTCAGGCACCTATTTCCACTGGAATCCAGGGTGTTAGAGAGACGGCATAGAACTCGGTTGATAAGGCGATAACGCGTCGGGATCAAAGAAGCCGATTGACAGGGCAGGGTAGCTAGTGCACTAACCAGCACTGATAAAGGTTAGCGCAATGTGCATCTCCAAGAAGAAGGCTGGTGTTTCGTGATGTGACGCGACGCGACGCGATAATTTATGTGCACTATCGATGCGTGGTCGCGAGCGAGTCTAGCACGTCATTGCGTTTTGCAGAACACGCTTCCTTTTCCTTGCACTTAGCTTGAAGTCTCGGTATGTGTTGGGGAAACCAGCATAGAACAATGACATCATCGCACCTCCTGTTCTCTGGACCCAGAAGAGTACGTGTATATTGTACCATTGAATTTATATCATTGACGCGCTCGTGCTAAGTTCTACGAACCACCTGTCTTCGATCCGGGCTTGTACGGAAAAGTCTGGCGATAGTGATTTGCAATATCTCTGCGGGTTGCGACCCAAACGCCTTCCTTCTCAGAGATATACTTCATAAAGTTCCTCAGACTCTCCGATCTTCCTGGCTTACCAGCTATTCGGGAGTGCAGAGGAATCGTCATCATCTTGCCGCCTTCTCTATACAAGCAGTCGAACGTATCTTTGAGATACTGCTCATAGACAGCACCAGCTGAGCTTACAAAGCCTGGAAGCATGTGGAACTTTCCATCGTTACCTATACCACCTTGTTAATTTGGAATAACCATACATGTGAAGTGTGCTTACAATCGTAATTGTACGGCATCATCAACAGGCCCTCCTTCTCTATGTCAGGCAATTCTTTCTCCCATGGCAGATCTATCCAGTATGGCGAGTCTTCGTTGTATACTTCCGAAGTATACAGCATCTTATGGCCCATCTCCTTCCACATGATTGGAAGCAGGCTAGCGGTATTTGGGGTTCCTCTACCAAAATACGCTCCTACTGGGAATTCGCCTGTGATCGCATCAGTTCCATGCACGATCGATATTGGGCGAAACATACCAGTTGCGGCCTCCAGAGCTTTGCAGGCCTTCTTGATATAAGCTTTGTCGTCTTCAAGCGAATAATCCCAAATGTCAAGCCATCTATACCCATGGGCACCGATCTCATGGCCTTCTCTTACACATGCCTTCGCGAACGTTGGGTTTCTCTCCATGGCAACAGCGATGGCCCAAAGAGTCATGTTCCAGCCGAACTCCTTCATGAGGCGAAGTATCCGCCAAGCACCACAACGACTGCCATACTCGTAGTCTTGCTCGCCGTTCAAGTGCCGCTGTTCTCTACCGCCGCCAGAAGGACCTTTCTCCCACAGGTAGGGTTCGCTGGTGCCATCGCCATCCAGTGGGTTGCGCTCGCCGCCTTCCTCGTAGTTCAACACGAAGGAGACTGCAATGCGGGCACCGTTTGGCCACTGTGCATCATGGCCATCTTCACCAAAACCTGGAAGAATGCTCAGTATATGCGAGAACGCACGCTATATGGGCTCGCACCTTCGAAATCTCTAGGGAGTTGTAGAGATTCCTCGACGTGGACCATGGCGGACAAATTCACGAAACGATGATAAAACCTAATGTTAAGACCCAAAAATGAACATGTGCTCAAAGTATATCAAGCTTCGAGAGCAGTATCAAAGTATGGAATGTTTCAAAGTCCACTCCACACTAATGACCCCGAACTGATATCACACCATTCTGACTGCGTCCTAAATGAGTTTCCCTCCACCTATCAATCACCTATCAACAACGGCGTTTCGGTTAGAATACAATCAAGACATTTTTAGGTAAAGAAAGCACTGTCAGTTGGGTCTTTATCGGAAGTGACCATTCCGACGACGATCAAATAGGCGTCCCACCAACCCCGCTTTGCCCTTATCGTTCCTTCCAACTTCGGAAGCCCACTCTGACAACCCTCAACGCGGCCGAGATTATTGTAAGCATGCGTTATCGATACATGAAGATGCTGAATCATGTGTCACGACTGTTTGTGTTCCAGCATCTGGTTGATGGCCCGCAATGGGCTTGCGCGCCTCCGATACTGGAATGGATAAACGGGCCCGCGAGACAGTTAGCTATTTGATGTCATACTGGCGTGTATATGTGAGCGTCACTGAGAACTCCAAGTCCCTGTTCTCTTACACAAAATGTCGGTTTTTTCGTTGGATGCAAACCACGGCAATCCGGTCACGAAAGAGACACTCGAAGCACTGTGCTCCCAGCTTGGGGTCAACATCGATGATAAAGAGAAGGAAGATTATCGTCGTTTGCTTGCTGTATTCCACGATGCAAGCGAACAATTGATGGCCATGGACGGTAGGGCATGACTCTTCTCTCTGCATATCGAAGTGAAGCTGACGTTGGTCTGTAGACTATGTCCCAATAGTTGACAAAGAACGCTTTTCTAGAAAAGACACCTACTTCCCGGAGAAATCTGACAATGCTCATGGAGCATGGGCATGGAAATGCAACATTGTTGACAAGAAAGCCAAAGGCAATGGTAAACTTCATGGTAAAACGTTTGCTCTGAAAGACAATGTTGCAGTGAAAGATGTCCCAATGCTACTAGGCACGAATTTCATCAAAGGATATGTTCCAGATGTCGATGCAACTGTCACTACACGTATCCTAGAAGCTGGTGGTCAGATTCTCGGTAAAGCTGTTTGCGAAAACATGTGTCATTCTGCGACAAGTCATTCGTCAGGCACTGGAGTAGTGGAAAACCCGTTCGCCAAGGGTTATAGCGCTGGCGGAAGTTCGAGCGGCTCGGGTGTACTTGTAGCACTGGGAGAGGTTGACGGAGCGATCGGTGCAGACCAAGGTGGTAGCATCCGCGTCCCAGCCGCCAACTGCGGGATCATTGGATTGAAACCTACCTTTGGTCTTGTACCATACACGGGATGTGGAAGTAACGAGCCCACAAACGACCACGTTGGCCCAATGACACGAACAGTGCTCGAGAATGCCGTGTTGCTGGAAGCCATCGCTGGCACCGATAACATTGACGACCGTTCCTTCGCTGCGCCCCATCCATCCAAAATACCCATCTACAGCTCCATCAGCAATCTTCCTAAGCACAAACCACTTCAGGGCAAAAGCTTCGCCATAATCACCGAATCCCTTTCAACACCAGCTCTAGACTCACGAGTGATCCAAACATTCCGCACCGCTGTCTCCAAATACACAGACCTCGGCGCCACGGTCACAGAGATCTCGATACCACTTCACTCCAAAGGCGCTGCAATATGGACTGGAGTATCAAAAGTCGGCGGCTTCCTCGCCAAAACCACCGGTTCGTTCGGACGCCGCGGACACCAGATGCTCGATTTAAACTCGTTGTTACATCCCATGGGCCAAGAAAACTGGAATGAAGCATACGCCTCGACGAAGAATATATACTTAAACGGTCTCTACGCTACGCAAAAATTTCCCAATCTCCTCGCCAAGGCGACTAATCTGTCTCGAAAATTGCGTGACGCTTACGATACGGCGCTCCAGCAATACGATATCTTACTTACACCTACACTGCCTTATGTAGCGACGAGTCATGCAAGCGTCGATGCGACACCGCTCGAGCAGATTGCGAAACAGATTGGATTGACATCAAACACGGCGCCATTCAACCAAAGTGGACATCCGGTATTGGCCATGCCGATTGGTATGTTGCCGGTACTAGAAGGGCCCGGAGTCGAGGAAGAGATCAAGTTACCGGTTAGCATGCAGGTTATTGGGAAGTGGTGGGATGAAGTGGGTGTTTTTGAAGCGGCGTTTGCGTGGGAGAGGGAGAATGACTGGAGAGGTATGTGATACGTTATTGTATATGGTCGACCAGAAGAAGACACAAAATACATGACGTTTCCCCCGACTCTGAACCCATCATCTAGATCCTAAGTCGCCATATCACCGTGGAAGCGGGATGACCTGTTCACCCACCCGTTGCTGATCATTACTCGTTTCAACAAGTTCGCTGCCACTATCCTGCCTTCCTATCATCTCCACCTTTTCCATAACCTCATCTGGTCTTTGCAATCCCCTATCCTTGATGAAAAAGCAGCCTAATAAACACAGTCCCATGAAGGGTACATTCATTATGAATACGGTGCGGCTCGCCGTCGCATACGCTTGCAATACCTGCACTATTTGTTTTGGATCTAGTGATGCAAAGTCCGGCGTATCATATGAAGAAAGTGCCAAGAAGTGGAATTCTTTCGGCATAACTCGGTGCAAGGAATTTTGCAGTGCAGCAGCAGAAATTGCAAGACCGACTGCACCGCCGAGACTGCGTATGAAGTTGCGGTTTGAGATGACGACTGCGCGTTGGGCTTTTGTGCAATGTGCTTGCAGTGCAACAAGTACAGGCTGGAAGACGGCACCGACTCCTAGTCCTTGGACAAAAAGTATGACGACCATAGCCCAAATGGGTGTGTCGCGGTTGAACATGCATGTCAAACCTACACCTAAAGTCCAGAGGAAGAACCCCAGCCAGATCACTTCGCCGTAGCGCTCGAAGCGCGAGATGTATCGTCCAGATAAAATTGAGGAAATCATTTGTGATGCGGTGAGTGGCAGCATTATGGACGCCGAAATGAGGGGAGAGAGGCGGCGTGCGTTCTGGAAGAAGAGGGGGAGATAGTATGTTTGCGAGTAGGCCACCACGCCAAAGAGGAAATTCTGAAGAAGCATGATGGAAACGGGACCGGATCTGAAAAGAGACACTGTCTAGCATCAGCAATGATTCGCAAAGAGCACATGTTTCGTAATAGGGCGACCAGAGCTTACATGGCATCATAGGCAATATAGCTACACGGTGCTCAATGTAGACGAACGTTATTATGCAACATCC